ATATCTCTGGTATTGAAGAGGTAAGTATGTTTACAAACCAAGGAACAGTGATCCACTGTAACAACCCTGAAGTTCAAGCATCGCTGGCAGGGAACACTTTCACCATGACAGGCTGTGCTGAGACAAAGCAGCTGACAGAAATGCTCCCAGCACCTTCAACAGCTCGGGCAGACAGTCTGACGGTTAAGGAGACTGGCTGAAGCTCTGCCCAAACAAGCTGTGGATGAAAAAGCGCCACTTGCTACTGGAGAGGATGATGATGACGAAGTTCCAGATCTTGTGGAGGATTTTGATGAGGCTTCCAAGAATGAAGCAAACTGAACTGAGTCAACTTCTGAAGAAGATAAGCTTGAAGAAGTTTCTGGGAGCTGCTATTTTATATTATGACTGCTTTTTCAAATTTTGTTTATGGATCTGATAAAATCTAGATCTCTGATATTTTTTAGCCCAATGCTCCTGGACATTGCAGCTCTTTTCAGTTTTTGCTTATACATAAATCATTCTTTGCAGCTAATTAAGCTGAAGAATCTTGGGAATAAAGTTTGAAACAGGTTAATAAAAAAATAACAACAACACAAGAATAAAACTGTTTCACATACAATTGTAAACCTACTTTTGCCCCACCCAGTATTGTATTTTTTATTTCTAGACATCTATTTGGTTCTTCTTCAAATATTGTAGATCACCTTTTATAGTTCCCGAAGGTATTTTCTTTCTTTCTTTCTTTAAATATATTTTTATTGATTTCAGACAGGACAGGAGAGGGAGAGAGACAGAAACAATGATGAGCGAGAATCATTAATCAACTGCCTCCTGCACACCCCCTACTGAGGACTGAGTCCACAACCTGGGCATATGCCCTTGACCAGAATCGAATCCAGGACCCTTCAGTCCACAGGCTGACGCTCTATCCACTGAGCCAAACCGGCTATGGCAATATTTTATTTCCTCAAGAATAAAAAGCATGCTTGTTTATAGTCTGTTCCTGATAATTTCAAAATCTGAAGTACTGAAGGCTCTGTTTCCATTGGTTTTCACTCATGGTGCCTTATTTCCTTATTAGAGGCCCAGTGCATGAATTCGTGCACCAGTGGGGTCCCTCAGCCTGGCCTGCAGTGATCGGGCCAAAACCGGCCCAGTGCAAGAATTCGTGCACCAGGCCTCTAGTATGCAAAGATCTTTGGTTAATCTCTTCCTGCCCTCCCTCCTCCCCTCTTCTCTCTGAGATTCATCAGTCTGTTCCATGTTTCCTGTCTGTGCATTGAGCATCTGCTCCCTGGTGGTCAGTGCATATCATAGCTACTAGTTGAAGGGTCGTTTAGACTTTTATATATATAGATATGCTTGGTCAGTTTTGTCTGTGTATTAACAATACCCTTATAAAATATCTGTAAGGGTTTTTTTTTGCATCTTAGGATGACAGTAACTGCCTCCAGAGAGGATACCTGAAGGCATGACCAAACCAGAAAACACACTAAATTCATGCTTGATTTCCCTGAACTACCAGGCAGTGTAAACCTGGGCTAGCGAGCCTCACAAAGGCTAAGCCAGAACCACAAGATGTTCCCCTTCTCCCACTTTTTTCCTGCCACATTTAGTAAAAAAAATAACCAGGTGGGAGCAGGGATGGAGTGGGGCAGGCATATCTATACTTCACACTAACTCGGAGGATATAGATACAGCCTTCCACGCCCCATTTAGTACAGGGATGGTTTCCTCTAAGCTTTCCCTTTGAGAGGACTGAGATCTTAACTACTGTTCATACCCTACAAGGCCACTAAAGTCAAAGCCCCACTTTGTCCAGATCATCAAATGCCCTCAGGGCAAAGGCAGATTCCATCCCATTGTGATTAAATTACCTTTCTGGGTTCTTATTTTTAGTTATATTTTGGTCTAGAACTTCCTTACCATATTGTCAATTCTTTTATTTCTTTTTCTTTGGAGTCCAACATTTTTTAAAATTTAAACTCTTTATTGTTTAAAGTATTACATATGTCTCCTTTTCCCCCCAGTGCCCTCTCCCCAGCCGCTCCCACTCCCCAGCACATGCCCTCACCCCCGTCTGTGTCATTGGTTATGTTTATAAGCATGCATACAAGTCCTTTGGTTGAACTCTTATCCCCCATCCCATCCTCCCCTGCTTCCCTCTGAGGTTTGACAGTCTGTTCGATGCTTGTCTCTGGATCTATTTTTGTTCATCAGTTTATGTTGTTCATTATATTCCACAAATAAGTGAGATCATGTGTTATTTATCTTTCTCCGACTGGCTTATTTTGCTTAGCATAATGCTCTCCAGGTCCATCCATGTTGCTGCGTATGATAAGAGTTCCTTCTTTTTTACAGCAGCGTAGTATTCCATTGTGTAGATGTACTACAGTTTCCTAATCCACTCATCTGCTGATGGCACTTGGGCTGTTTCCAAATCTTAGGTATTGTAAATTGTGCTGCTATGAACATAGGGGTGCATATATCCTTTCTGACTGGTGTTTGATTTCTTGGGATATATTCCTAGAAGTGGGTTTCTGGGTCAAATGGGAGTTCCATTTTTAGTCGTTTGAGGAAACTCCATCCTGCTCTCCACAGTGACTGCACAGTCTGCTGGAGTCCAACCATTTTGATGCTTTCCATAGGGTAGGGCTGGAAGGACAGAGGCAGTCCAAATACCGTAGCCTAACATTAATAAACAACATAAGACACTGCTGTTTTTCTTGCAAAATATACCTGATATACAATTCTCTACACTGAAATTTATGTTCTCGCATCCCTTTGAAGGATTATTCCACTTTCAATGGCTGCTACTCATACTCATGAGACATGTTGTCAACTGAATAATTGTAAGCTACTGACCGAGAGCTGAAGATCCTTTTGTCTTTCATGCTATACGATTCCAATGTGTGGGCATATGTTTCTTTATTTATACTGCTTGGGACACAGTGTGCTTCCATTCTGGGAGTCCAACTACACATTTACCACACATTATTATTCTCATTTTCCATCTCCCATCTCTCAAGGCTGCACACTGTGTAACTTCTTACACACACAATTCTGTCTTCTGCCATGTTTAATGTGTCTACTCCACATATATTGAGTTTTCTTTTTTTAAAATAATTCTTTATTGTTGAAAGTATTACATATGCCCCTTTCCCTTCCCACTGACCCCCTTGAGTTTTTTATTTCAACTTTTTTTCATTTCTGAAAGTTCTACTTGGATCACTTTGATACTTTGTTTTGCATTACTAATTTTTATTCTATATGTATTTCTTCAAATATTTCATATACTAGGGGCCCAGTGCATGAATTTATGCACCTTGAAAGGAACTGTGGGCCAAGAGGCTGTGGTGGGCACAGGGGCGTGTCTCGGCCCATCCTCCACGCCCCCACCTGGCCCCTCCCACCACGGCCCCTGGTCCCGTCTGCCAGCAGCCCTGCTCCCGCTGTCGCCGCTCCCACGCGCTGATGGCGCTGGCCCCGCTCACACCCACTGACTGCGCAGAGCGATTAGGGCCGGCACCAGCAGTGGGTGCAAGCAGGGCCATCGCCAGCAGCGGGTGAGAGCACTGGGCGGGACCATGGCGCGCAGAAGCAAAGAATTTTCAGTAACCACCAGAGGCTTGCCCCAATGACAGCAACCGGCACCCTGCCTTGGTCTGGTGTCCCCGCTCACCAGCTCCACCATCCCACTGCGGCCAACGCCTGCCATGTTCTGTGCTCTGCCGCCTGCTGCTGATGCCCACCATGTTCTGTGTGCACCCCCTGGTGGTCAACGCACGTCATAGCGACCAGTTGTTTGGTTGTTCCACCATTCAGTCTATTTGCATATTAGGGTTTTATATATATAGATACACTAGAAGCCCCCCACCGGTGCACAATCGGGGCCGGGGAGGGACTATGGGAGGGCTTCAGGGCATGTCCAGCCCATCTTGCCCAGTCTCGATCGGCCAGACCCCAGCAGCAAGCTAACCTACCAATTGGAGCATCTGCCCCCTGGTGGTCAGTGCACATCATAATGACTGGTCAAACAGTCAAACAAACAGCCGGATACTTAGCATATTAGGCTTTTATTATATAGGATACGGCATCTGACTATTCAACATGTGCAGGCCTCAGGGCATCTAATTTTGCTAATTCTTCCTCACAATGGTATGTGTTTTCTGATTGTAAGTTCAAGTTTGCTTAAATGTAATGTATAAAATCCATTATTTTATACATTAAATAAAAGCCTACACTATGTATGCTTTTCTCTAAAGAGGGTTTATGTTTTCTTCAGCAAGGAACAAAGGATTACTATCATAACGCTCACTGTTCCTTTTTTCCTCTTTTGGCCTTTAGAACAGTATCTTAATTTTTAGTGCACCAAAGTGATCACAAGAAACCATATTTACTGTGATTTATCCAGCATCTAATTGGAGTGCGATGGGAGAGCTTTTTAGGAACACCCAATACTGCTGGACACAGGAGTCCCTCCCCTACTTTTTTTTCAAAATATATTTTTATTTATTTCAGAGAGGAAGGGAGAGAGAAACATCAATTATGAGAGAGAATTGGCTGCCTCCTGCACATCCCACAACAGGATTGAGCCCACAATCCAGGCATGTGCCCTGACCGGGAATCAAACCGTGACCTTCTGGTTCTTAGGTCGACGCCCAACCACTTAGCCACACTTCCCTCCCTTTTTCATCCTCCACATGGACAGTGTGTTCTGGATGGCACCCATGACCGTGTAAGGGCTCTAGCTCATGTGTACCTCACTACAGGTGCATGGCTGTCCCCATTTTATTTGGATTACACTTCAGCTTGGAGAGACCAAGTAACTTGGTCTCTCCACAACACAGCTCCTCAAAACTAGACTCAGGAGGATCAAAAAACAACCAAAAGACAATAGACTATACACACCCTTCAAAACTAAATATCTGCTGTCATCCATCTTTAAACTTCCACTTATACAGTATATTTGCACAAATTATACAGTAAAACAGAATAAAAAAGGAAAACCATCCTACCTTCTGTGGAAACTTCTTGTTTAAATTTTGTATTCAGGCAAAATATAAAAACATTTGGGGGTTTTTCTTGGAGTATATGCAACTTGAAGAAAATTTTTTTCATTCAGTATAAGATTGATAATCGCCTCACCTGAAAAATAAAAAGGAAAAATCTTACTTTAAGTTCTGCTTTTATCAAGTAAATTACCAAAATGGTAGATAAAAGGAAAGCAAAAATCAGTATCTTTACTTAGTATTCAAATTATCAGAACATTTCAGGATGAAGGAATGAAAAACTCCATTGCCTCTATTTGTGTTAGAGAGCCTGGTGCTGATGGCATACACCCAATCCGGTGTCTGGTGAATGAGCTCAATGGTTGGAATGTCACACACAGATTTCAAAGATGTGGGAAGATCTCTATGGAATTGTCCACTTTAGTAACTTTATGTATGCATTTATTTATTTTTTATCCTCACCTGAGGATATTTTTCCATTGATTTTTAGAGAGTGGAAGAGAGGGAAAGACAGACAGAAATATTGATGTGAGAGAAACACACAGGTTAGTTGCCTCCTGCACAAGCCCTAACCAGGGCCTGGGCCAGGGAGGAGCCTGCTTGGGTGCCCTTGACTGGAATCAAACCCGGGACCCTTTGGTTCACAAGCCGACGCTCTATCCACTGAGCCAAACCGGCTAGGGTCAGTCTAGTAACTTTACACTATCTCCTCAAGAAATGCACATCCCTGGCCTGGCTGCGTAGCTCAATTGGTTAGAACATCGTTCCAATACACCAAGGTTGCCAGTTCAATCCCTGGTCAGGGCACATTCAAGCATCAGCCAATGAGGCTGGAATGGCTCAGTGGTTGAGTGTCGACCTATGAATCAGGAGGTCACAGTTCCACCCAGTCAGGGCACATGCCCAGGTTATAAACTTAAGGCAGCCGATCAAGGATTCTCTCTCATCACTGATGTTTTTCTCTTTCTCTCTTCCTCTTCCTTACTCTCTGAAATAAACAAAAATATATATATATTTTAAAAGAAACAGCCAATGAATGCACAAATAAGTGGAACAACAAAACTAAGTTTCTCTCTCCCCTCAGCCCCACTATTTCCCTTTCTCTCTCCCCCTCAAAAAAAAAAAAAAAAAAAAAAAAATATATTCCTGGTCACAAGGTGACTGATAATCCATCACAATGTCTAGAAGCATCTCCAACAGTGACCTCTACATACCATTTCCAAATCAGGCGACCAGCACTGCCCAATGAACTGACTGACTCCACGTCTCCGGCAAAAGCAGGGACACCTGGAGCCTGAGGAGCTCACTTGGTACTTGCATGAAAGTCATGATTTCACCATTGGAAACTAGTCTTTAGCATTCCCTTCCCTGGACACATGAATTCCCTGATGACCACCCAAGAAAAGGCCACCTCTGCTCTTTCTCCCACCAGAATGGGGGTCAGCATTCTCCTAGGTCCATGGCTATTTTAAAAGCCACCTTATACCTTCATTCTAAAACCTGTTTTTAATCTTTTTGCTACAGGGAGCAAATTTACCTTCCCACCTGCAACAACTAAAAAAAAAATTAAAGGGTAAAATATATGGAACAGTTTTCAAGAAAACGGACACCAGGCAATGAGGAAGAGCCGTCCCTGACAGAAGGGAAACGAAAGGACCCTCTCCCTGCCCAGCTCCCTGCCTGGGGAGGACCGTGGCTCTGGGAGCAGCAGAGGAGCCAGGTGGAGCCACCTCTTGAGGCCGAGGCGCTGACGTTCAGTTCGGACAGAGCACTGGAGGGGAGTGGCACAGAGGTGCAGGCTCCAGCTGGGTGCTGACAGCAGCGTGTGAGGCAGCCTCCAGGCCAGGCACAGCAGCGCCCAAAGGGCTACCAGGAACAACCCTCGAGTTCACAGGGAGCCAGAGACACTCTTTCTCCCAGTCACAGTGCAAACTTCCTAATTCTCCGGCTGGGGCAAAATTAGCCCTACCAATGGTCGGAAAACTGCGGCTCACGAGCCACATGCGGCTCTTTGGCCCCTTGAGTGTGGCTCTTCCACAAAATACCGACTTCTGCGCATGGGCCACGACGTTTCAATCGCACTGTACGTGCGCGTCCACACGTGGTATTTTGTGGAAGTGCCACACTCAAGGGGCCAAAGAGCCGCATGTGGCTTGCGAGCCGTGGTTTGCCGACCACTGCTAGACTAAACATTACTCTGGCCTCACCTAACAAAGCTTAAAAGTAAGACCCACCAGAATCAAACTGTTTCCAAGTAATTTAACCACATCTCAGAAAAAAGGTGACGAATATGTATAGAAATACAAAAATACCCAGCATCCAACACAATAAATTCAGTGTCTTGGCAGTTTGGCTCAGTGGATAGAGCGTCAATGAAGGTCGCAGGCAGGAGGCAACCAATCGATGTATCTCTCTCACATCAATGTTTCTCTCTGTCTCTCTCTGTCTCTCCTCCTCCCTTCTACCCTCTCTTAAAAAAAAATCAATGGAAAAATATCCTTGGGTGAGGATTCACAATAAATAAATAAATAAATAAATTACCAGACATACAAGGAAGAAAACATGAACTATAATGAAGAGAAAAATCAATCAAAACTAACCCAGAAATGACACAAATGACAGAATTAATAAACAGAGACATTTAAACAGTTGTCCTAACTGTATTCCGTATCTTCAAAAACCTAGAGGAAAGATTAGACATGTTAAATGGAGACATGAAAGATAGACAAAGACCCAAATAGAATCATAAAAATACTCAATCCCAAAAAAGGCAGGAAAGAGGGAAAGGGGACAAAGAACACAGTGTCCTTCTCCTGTGAGCCTCTCCCCGAGGGCACTGTAAGGGGGACAGGACACAGTGTGGTTGTTTCCTCCTCCCCAGCCCTCTCTCTAACCACACCAACCCTTACCACTCCCTAAACATGCCGAGGGTCTCCCATCGCTGACGCTCTGCACGTGGCCCCCACTGCCTGGAACGCCCCTCCTCCCACCTCCCTACTTGACAAAGTCCTGCCAGCTCTTCAATCCAAAATTCAACCACAACACTCACATCAAGCTTTCCTGAGTCCTTCCTCAGGATTCACACAAGTCTGTTTACACATCTTTTAGAAAATCACATTATAATAATCTGGTTTGAAATATTATTTATTTTAAATCATGAAAAAAATTAAAAATACAAAAAGATCCACAGAAGAGTATGACAAATACCCATATATTGAGATTTAATAAATGTTAAGAATTGTTCACATATGCCTATTTTTAAAAACCACACATTTCTAATACATTGAGAAACTGACACCCATTCCATTCCCTTCCTCTTAAAGGTAATCATTAACTTGCAGCATCATAATTGCATTCTTTCACTGCCCGTGTGTTTATAAGTAATGCACTGTTTTAAGAATATACTTTTAGCCCTAACCGGTTTGGCTCAGTGGATAGAGTGTCGGCCTGCGGACTCAAGGGTCCCAGGTTCGATTCCGGTCAAGGGCATGTACCTTGGTTGCGGGCACATCCCCAGTGGGGGGTGTGCAGGAGGCAGCTGGTCGATGTTTCTCTCTCATCGATGTTTCTAACTCTCTTTCCCTCTCCCTTCCTCTCTGTAAAAAATCAATAAAATATATTTAAAAAAATAAAAAAGAATATACTTTTAGCCCTGGCTTGTTTTGCTCAGTGGATAGAGCATCCGCCTGCGGATTGAAGGGTCCCAGGTTCCATTCCGGTCAAGGGCTTGATCCCCAGTAGGGGGCGTGCAGGAGGCAGCTGATCAGTGATTCTCTCTCATCATTGATGTTTCTCTCTCTCTCTCCCCCTCTCTCAAATCAATAAAAATATTTTTAAAAAAGAATATACTTTTATAACACATACATGTACTCTCCAAGTGTTTTAAGATCAACTTTGAATTTTAGGAAATCATCTATACTGACACAGGTAGCTTTCATTTTGAATTTGGCAGGCACTGCATCCCTGCGAGGCCTCCCAGGCTGTCCCTGACTTATTACCATTACAAGCGAGGCTGCCTGGACTTCTAGGCATGTATCTTCATGCACAGCAAGTGCTTCCCAGCTTTTCTTCACTTGGACACAGAACTGCTGGGTGACAGAAAAGACACCTCCCAGTCCAGCAGACAAGAGACACATACTCCAGAGTGCTACACCGTGCTCGGTGCAGCTCAGTGGGAACGGCAGCTCACCAGAGCCTCGCCCACAGGGCAAAGTCCCGGGACTGACCCAGGTCATGAGGTTAATAAATGTCAGTTCTAGAACTTGAACCCAGGTTGGCTCAGCAAAGTCCATGTTCTCCATCTCCACATGACACCAGATTCTGGCCCAGTCGATAAAGAGGAAAGGGAGGTATCCAAACAGGTGCAGAAAGAGTGACGAAGGTGGAGAGAGATAACAGGAAGGTACTGCCCTGGCTGCACGGGGCAGGGAGGCCACCGACAGAGCCAAGAAAGAGACAGAGCAGGTCTCACAGGCTCGAGGGGAAATGAGGCTGGGGGGAGAGAGGTGCAGTCTTCAAATGGAGCCATGGTTTCTTTGTGGGGTGACAAATATTCTGGAGTTGGTGATGGCTGCACAAACTTGTAAAAATACACTAAAAGTTACTGAATTGTACACTTTAAAAGGGTGGATTTTAGGAAATGTGAATAAACCCTGAATGAGAAAAAATGAAGCAGTCAGTGGGCTGACAGACAGAAGAGGAGTCAATTCCTGAAGAGGAGCTCCACAAGGTGTGACTGACACCAGCAGCCCAGGGGCATGGGAGAGAGAATGGACGAACAGAGCCCTGCCCCAAAGAGCCTGACCTCTAGCAGAGAAGACAGGTCCCGCAGGCCTCCACCGCAGCCCACTGGGAGGGAGATGGCGGGCAGGCGCACAGCCCGGAGCATCCTATCTTCCAGTGCTGAGGACAGACCACCCAGTTCCTGTGCCTTGGGGCCTCTCTGTAGACAGGGCTAAAAATACTGACCTCCTAGGGTGGGTGTGAGGACTGACTGAGGCTAAGTCCTGTGCTTGGAAGCAGGCCTGACCCGGAGTGCCTGGGGTACGTTAGCTCTCACGACGCCCATGGAGGGGAAGACGTGACTCCTACAAGGTGGTGTGCCTGGGGGCTGAGCCTCAACTCCAGGTGCGCCTGCCTGGCTGGACGCTCAGCCCCCCCACTTACTGGCCTAAGTTTCTTAAACTCTCTGTGTCTCCGTCTCCCCGACTGTAAAATGCGGATGACGAAAGTATATACCTCCAAGGTCAATGCGAACATGAAACAAGATAATCTAGCAAATGCTCAGCACCTGCCTGGCAAACAGGAAGTGCCCAGTGAGTGTTGTTGGTCAGAGAAGGCTTCCCTGAGGAATGAGTGGCTTGAGTTTCACTCATTTTAAATTAATGGCCACAAACCTCAAGAGGGAGCTAGTTTCCCTCTACAGACAATTGCGACAAATGTCAGATAAGCACAATTGTGTACAGCCGCTTTCATCGAGAAGTGAGTCTACCTGCCCATCCTGGGACTCCTGGACCTGCTGCAGCCACGGAGGTGGCACGATGAGGACCAGGTGCAGTTCTGAGCCTCGGCTTCAAGAGGCTTCACAGCGTCCACCCTCAGTCTCTTGGACTCCGGTGACCAGTGTGTGAAAGCCCACGTGCCTCCCTAGGTGCCAGGGCCCTGCAGAGGCCTGCACACCCAGCCAAGGCCCTGATCATAGACGGAAGTGGAGAGGAGCCATCTGGCTGAACCCAACCCCAACTGGGCTCAACCCACAGACTCATGACCGGAAACAAAGATGGTCGTTTTAAGCCACTCATCACTGGATGGTCTGCTGCAACAGATAACTAATATAACAACCCTGTTCTTCCTTCTGCTCTCTCCTTCACCCTCCAGCATGCATACCCCCTGAATCCATAGAAAAAGGAGAAGGTCTCAACTGGGACCTCTCCTATTCCCTGCCTCCCCTCCTGCTATGATGGAAAAGGGTCCGGGGCTCCCAAAGGCCAGCCCCTTCCCCACGCTGCAGGCCCCTCCCCTCACACCTCCCACTGCTTCTCCCGCAGGAATCTCCAGTGCCCTCCCGTCTGTGTGCACACGCACACACCCTGCCCCACAGACATTTCTCCAATTCCTGTTCACAGCAAAGCTTCCTCAAGGAACTGTCTGCTCTTACTGTCCCCAGAATCAAGGGAAGAAGGGAAAAGAAATATGAGCTCGACACTGAGGGCACCCCCCAACACACACACACTGCTCACAGAGGGGGGCAACAGTGCTTACGTCAGACCATGCTTACACAGCATACGACTGCAGGGAAAATGTCAGAGGTCAGGGCTACCGAATGGCTAAAAACTGAAGGGGAAACTGAACAAAGAAGGGAAAAACTCACCCTGGCCGGTGTTGGTCAGTGGTTAGAGCACCGACCCACACAAATTCGATCCCAGTCAAGGGCACATATCTGGGTTGTCTCTCTCACATTAATGTTTCTCTCTCTCCCCCCACCCCTTCTTTCCCTTCTACTCTCTCTGAAAATCAGTGGAGAAAATAACGTTGGGTGAGGATTAACAACAAAAGGGGAAAAGCTCAAAATCTTCATTAAAATTCCTCCCAAATCCTTGGCTGACTCCTGAGCTGCACATGGTGAGATGACATGCCAAGAAATCAAATAGAAAAAAAGTCAAACTCATAGAAACAGAGTAGGGAGTGGCTGCCAGGGATGGGGGTGGGGGTAGAAAGAGGTTGGTAAAGGTGCGAACATTCAGCTATGAGATGAATATGGTCTGAGGACCAAATGGGGACTGTAGCTGATGAAACTGTGTCGCATAACTGAAATTTGCTAAGAGGGTACAACTTCAATGTTCTCACACACACAAACTATGTGAGGCAATGGATATAATTAACTAGATGGGAAGAATCCTTTCACAATGTAGGTACATGTATATAAAATTATGATGTACTTTAAATATCTTACAATTTTATTGGTTAATTATACCTCAATAAAGCAATACAGATGAGAAAGAGAGAGATACACACAAACCCATACACACCTGACCAGGCAGAAAGCAGCTGTTGTGAGATGAGAAAGATTTCAACAGTTGTCCAACACTGGGTGACAAATTTTGGATTTTCTGTTCTGCCATATTAGAAAGGTTTTCCATTAAAACCCCAGAAGGGCCATGGCTTGGGAGTAAAAACCATGTTCCAGAACTAAGGGCTGTGCCCTAAAACATAGGGCAAAAACCAAACAGATCCACCCTTGAAAAGCTTCACAGGATCAAGATGCTCTCCCAGTAATTTAACAGCAGGCCATAACAAAACTTAATACTCTTTAAGGGAAGATAACTTAAAACAGAGTCTCTAGAATGTACTATCCACAATGTCCATTATACAACAAAGTTACTAGACATGCAAAGTAGAAAAATGTGAACCATGATCAAGAGAAAAAAACAATCTACAGAACCCACAAATGACCGTATGTTGCAACTGACAGATGACAACTTCAAAACACCATTATAAATATGTTAAAGGACTTTGGGGAAAACAGGGCAGAAGGGATGAGCAGGGGGAAAATTAGCAGAGACTTGTGAACTTGAAAAAAGAACCAAAAGGAAATGCCAAAATTAAAAATATAATACCTGGAATTAAATGTCACTGGATAGAATTAATAACAAAATGAATACAGAATATACTCATGTAAACAGTGAG